CATCCATCCATCCATCCATCCATCCATCCATCCATCCATCCATCCATCCATCCATCCATCCATCCATCCATCCATCCATCCATCCATCCATTTCCTTCTGCTTATCTGGGGCCGGGTCGCAGAGGCAGCAGTCTACGCAAAGATGCCCAGACTTTCCGATCAACGCACACTTCCTCCAGCTGCTCTGGGGGGACCCCTAGGCGACACCAGGCCAGCTCAGAGACATAGTCCCTCCAGCGTTTCTTGGGCCTTCCACGAGGCCTCCTCTCAATGGGACATGCCTGGAGCACCTCCTGAGGGAGGCAACCATGAACTTCTGAAACAGATGCCCGAGCCACCTCAGCTGGCTCCTTCCAACGTGGAGGAGCAAAGACTCTACTCCGAGCTCCTCCTGGGTAACTGAGCTTCTCACTCGATCTCAAAGGGTGCGCCCAGCCAACCCGCTAAGGAAACTCATTTCGGCCGCTTGTATTCATGATCTTGTCCTTTCAGTCATTACGCAGATCTCATGAACATAGGTGAGGGTAGGAATGTTGATCGATGGATAAATTGAGAGCTTTGCCCCCCCGACTCAGCTCCCTCTTCACCACGACAATCCTATACAGCGACCGCATCACTGCCAACACTGCACCAATCCATCTCTCAGTCTCACGCTCCATCTCTCCCTCACTTGTGAAAAAGACCCCGCAATACTTAAACTCCACGACTTGAGACAAGGACTCGGCACAAACCTGAAGAGGGGAGTCCACTTTTCTCCGGTGGAGAACCATGGCCTCAGATTCGGATGTGCTGATCCTCATACCGGCATGATGTTCATTATGGACAAACTGTGATTAGCACAGAAGTGCAATAACAGAACACCGCTCAAGTTCAGATCGGGGAGGCCGTACCTAATGATAACCCCTGTCCAGGTCTTACTGTCACTCCCATGTGGGCGTTGAAGTCCTACAGTAAAACGATGGAGTCCACAGTTGGAGCGCCATCTAGTACCCCTCCCAAGCAATCCAAAAAGGCTTAATTTGATAAATTGAGTAAAAAAAATAAATAATCTAATCAAGTGAAAAAGCTCTTAAAAACTAAAGGTATGTCAGTGAATCCAAGTCAACTCAAATCTTTGAGTTGACTTTTAAAAATTGTTTTTCCTTATACAAAGAGACAAATGTATTCACATATCAAAACAATTGTCTCCTTTACTATTCTTTGTGGTTGACACTTCCAGAAGGGGAAGCAGATTTTCACCAATATGGTTTTAAGTGGCAGCAAAGAGCTGCTGACCTTGACTGAGGACATTGTCAGATGGTGAGAGGAATACTTTGAGGGTCTCCTCAACACAACTGACACTCCTTCTGTGGTGGAAGCAGAGACTGAATGCTCACTTGTTCCTCACCAAGTCTGAAGTCGCCATAGTGGTCAATAAACACCACCGTTGCAAGGGTTTTGGGGTGGATGTCGTCCACCCTGAGTATCTTAGGTCTGTGGATGTTGTACTGGAGTGGTGGTTTTCCTACATAAGACGAGGGGGTGTGTTCTAGCTACAGGGGTATCTCACTTTCTGCATCCCTAGGAAGGCCTATGCCAAGCTGCTGGAAAGGAAAGTCAGGCTAACTGTAATACCTTGGCTTTAGGAGGAGAAGGCTGGTTTTCATCCTTGCCTTGTAGTGTCTTGTGGGGGGCTGTCCAGGATGGCCAGAAGGTCCCTTTTCTAGGAGCTATCCGGTTGATGTACAGTAGAAGCAGAGCAGGGACTTGGTATGCACTGCTGGTATTAAGTTGGACCTGTATGTTGGACTCTGGCAGGACTTTCAGGATAAAAGGTGTAAATGGGTCTGGTTTGGGAAACAGTGGATGTTGTTCTCGCTTTTTATGGATAATGTGGTTCTGCTGGTTCTGCAGGTGCAAATAACTAAGGTTCAGAGGAGTCAGCATAGATGGCTTGGATATCTTTTGAGGATGCCCCCCCGATACCTCTCCAGGGAGGTATTTCCGTCATATTCCACCTAGAGGAGGCCCAAGGTAAAGCCCATGACACACTGGAGACCCTGTGCCTCTCATGCTTCCCCCAGCAGTGCTGGAGAAACTATCTGGTGAAGTCTCAGAGTCTCTCCTGAGACTGTTTTACCTGTGAACCGGTTTTCAGATAATCAGAAGATCATTAATATTAGTAAATGTTTTCTTTTGCACATTTCCTTCCTTGTATTTGTTGCTCTAGATTGGTTGAAACGCATAAAAAACCCACAATGAAGAGTCTAGAGACCTTATACAGCAGGGTAAATACTGCAGAAAAGGGATAAAGATTGCCACCCTGCTTTATCTTCTCAGCCAAAGCTTTTCATGCTTTTGGATGACTGATGAATCTATCCATCTACATGTGAGAGTTGCACTCTAAATTAACCTAAATGTTATATTTTATCCCCAAATTAAGTTGACTGAAAAACAATAATCTTTGAGGATTACACAAAGCATGAAAGATTGCTTATAAAACAAACAACTCAAAGAAATGTACCTTAAATGTAAAAGGACACAGATTAAGATCATTCTTCTCCTCAAAGTCTTTGCATCAGAATCACTGGGGTGATGCAGAATTAATGAGAGAAAACTGCTGGGGAGGTGGTGGGCATGAAAGCATCAGACAACGTCTTCTGCTCTAAGAGAATTATTAAAGGGCCGGTTGCCAGGCGGAGACGAGGAGATCAGTGGAAGCCAGGCTCAGCGCTGCTCCGTGCAAGTCAGGAGGGAGGTCGAGAGCAGGAAAATATGTTCTGTTTTGGCTCCTGCCATTTAGTACCATCTGCTCGGTCATTTGGGTGTTTGTGTTTTATTTTTTTTCCCCTGTAAAGTTGACAGGGGGACAAATGCTGCGGGTGTGAAGCAAGTTAGAATGATGGATGCTCTCTGTTTGCAGAGTGTCAGTAAACACAGCAGCCTAGATCAAGCGTGATGCAGCAGAGTAGAACTCAGAAAAAGTATGATGATGTACCACTCATCATTAAATTGCTATTCGTTTTGTCATAAGTCGAGATCAAGTTTTTCATTGATTGCATGATTTGAGGTATCTGAGGCCGCATGCTTCAGACAATTTTTTGTAAAATGGTACATGGAAGCAAACTATTGACTAGATCATATCCTCCCTGTTTTCCACTAGGTCAGAATAAAGCTTGTGCTTTTTGTGTTTAAATGTGGTTTTCCCATCCCAGCAGTTCTGATTAGCAAACATGCCTAGGGCCTAATCTTTCTTATAAAATACATGCAGATTTGTTTGCCTATGCACAACAGATCTTCAGTCAACAGCAAAAGCAAATTATTATACTTAATTACATTTTATCTTTAATATTTTCCTAATGAAATATTAAATGGATGGATGGATGGATGGATGGATGGATGGATGGATGGATGGATGGATGGATGGATGGATGGATGGATGGATGGATGGATGGATGGATGGATGGATGGATGGATGGATGGATGGATGGATGGATGGATGGATGGAAGAAAGAAAGGAAGGAAGGAACGAACGAACGAAGGAACAAACAAAGGAACGAACGAAGGAACAAACAAAGAAACGAACGAAGGAACAAATGAACGAACAGCTTTTGTTATCTGCATCTCAGATTGAACCGGAGGGGTTCCCCTTATCCAGAAGTACACTCATACTCTCACATCAACCTGAGGGTATCATTGTATCGCAACAAGCCTGTGTAAATTCTCAGTCATGGGTCATGGAAACCACAGGCTCTCATCAGAACAGGAACTGCAAGCTTAAGCTTCATAGTTTATTTTTGGGGTCCCATACTCAAAGTTAATTTTGCTTTGTTCCTATCATGTTTTGTTTTATCTGTTAGGTAACCTCAGTTTCTCTGTTCCATCTCATACATGTTAAATGGTCTTGTTTTCTTGCCAGCTTGCAATTATCCAGATCTGGCCCTGCTGTTTTAAACCATTCATTTAATCCATGCTGTTACTGCCTCATCATATGCCATAACTTTATATGTGGTTTTTGCAGTGGTGTATATGTTTTTTGCAGATGTGTATTTGTATTTTAAAAGTGGAAAATACTGTTTTTGTCAAGTATTTTCAGTAAGGCTCCTATTTTTCACCTTCAACTTGTTATAACAGTGGTTTTGCTTTGTTGTCTGACTGCATAACTGAACATGGAAAACCTCCTCCCGAGTGGTGCCCGACTTTACACGAGTCAATAAAGTGAATGTGATTGGTCGATTATCAAGGGGACGGGATTGTTGTGGCGGAAGGTTCACAAGCAAGTGGCCGGTGTCTCGGAAGCATCTTGCTAAACAGTTAGCAACTTAGTGCTAGTAGGTTCCAAATGGGAAATTGCATTGGGACCATGTAGTACTAAATTGGTGGCTTGGAAACAACACTATCAAGGAACGCTATGGGCAGCAGAAATATGCAAAAGGAGGACAGTTTTGTGTAGGACGTCGTGGATGAGTCTCCTCCGTCATACATTTTTTATTTAGAGGAGGAAAGTGGGGACAAAGTTGTTGTGGAAGAGAACGCCAGGGCGGCAGAAGCTTGGTTTGGTGTAGAAGGCTTACAGCCGTATATGTTTGAGCCCTTGCCTCACAACGCTGCCAGTTCTGTTAGCTCTACTCCTGCAGAAGACACAGATGTCCATCCCTGTGAACACTGGGATGGAACTCAATGGTATCGTTGCGTATATTAGCTACGACATATGAATCGAGATCCTATGACTGAAAAAATATGATTGACAGATGACCGTTGATATATGATTTGGTGAATTTAGGTGTACAAGCTGACGTATAACTGGCCTGCATAGAATGACGAAAAAAAAAAAAAAGATTTTAAGACAGGGTTTTTTTTTTTAAATAGGAATTTTCTAACTTTGGGGACAAAAGGGTATGATAAAGAATACATTCATATACATGTTTAAGCCAGAATGATTTGAAATTAAATATGATTTCCCTACGACTTTAAAGTGTATTCTGGAAACTCCCAATGAGTCCAAAGCTTTTTGAACCACCTTGGAGGCAATGAGTGGTCATTTTCTGTGTGACTTTTTGTCTAACTTATTATTTGTTTGTGCCCCACTCAACTTTAAGCATTGCTACAGTTCATTGAGGTTTTGAAGAATTGTGTTATTGTTCAGATTGAATTAAATTAAATTCATTTATAGTGCTAATTCACAGCACATGCCATCTTAAAGCACGTTACAGAGACAATACTTTCAGATTGGTTAAAAGTTTTTGATAAGGAAAATGAGTTGATTGCAACAAGTCATTGACATGCAAGACATGCTCCTCCTGGATGAGCTTGCAGCGACTTTTTTTGCTTGCATTTGTTGTTTGTTGAAGAAGAATCCACCAGAGCATTTCAGTCACATTGTGATCTAGACTTTGACTGGACCATTTTATTCTTGCAAAATTGTATTTGTAAATTTGCAGTTAAGATTGTCTTGTAAATGACCCTTTTTGAGCTAAGCTAAGACAGACATTAGATTTGGTATTGCTTCACACAGAAAAGTATTTCATACAGCAGCACTACTGGAGGTTGTGATAACAATAACCTTAATGATTAAATCTATTTATTAGGACACATTTTTGTTTCTTTACTGTTTCACAATGTTTACATAATCCTGCATGAAACCTCTTCAAGCTGATTGGGTAAATCAACAAGTGGCTCCTACCTCCAATGTCAAGCTTTGAGCCAGTCACAGCAGTAGTAGCAGCTGTGACATATCACATTCTTGTTTCATAGAGAGCAGAGATAACTGATAAATCAAATGTTTACGAAATCAGGTCAGGAACAATGCTTAATCATCTTTCTCATCCACAAAGGCACAAGTAACATCAT